GGGCAATGTATACGCTATTACAACAAGGTCCCGGAAAGTGTACAGGTTCTCTCTATTACCAAGTTTAAATGTTTTATTAAGCTGAAACTGTATAAAAAGGGTTATTATAGTATAAATGAATACATGGTTGATAATAACCCCTGGGAATGAGGTGATCGCTTCCAAGCAGTTTCTAAAATAAATTTTGTAAATAGTTCGTAATCATTTATATTGTAAAATTATTTAAAAAAAAAGTCCCGCTGGGTTTCTTGCTGGTTCTTCCCAGGACAGAGGGTTTTTTTCGAACCAGTGGTAAAGTAAAAAATGACTTTCAATAAGAATTACACATGTAATGTATATTGAATAAAAAAATATTCTATTCTATTCTATTCTAATAATCTCATGATGTAAATAAAAAAGTTTTATTCTATACTCTAAAAAGTAACCTTAGTTAATAAAAAAAGCAATTAAAATAAAATAGTTGCGTTAAAATGGCGTCGACGAACCGCGATAAGCTGATCACTCCGTATTAGTTTTAAATAGGTACCCATTGTTAATATAATGTTAACACTTAGAGAAGTAGGTATCTATATATAAACGTTTGAGTTTTACACAGAGCGTTGCGATTAAACGTTTTAAACACAAATAGAAAATAAATATTTTTAAAAGAAAATTGTGATTTTTTCCCCACAACTAGCAACATTTGTATTATGAGAGCTTAGGTAAGTATTTTTTTAGTTTTACGTACTTATAATGAATTAAATGTATAAACTTATATGTGAAATGTAATACCATCACTTCTTTTATGTTTATCATCACCGCTGTGACAATATTTTACAACACAAACGGTAATTTTTACAATTTTTCGCGAGCTCTTCTCCATAAGGCGTGACGTTGCGCACTGACGCGTCGCAGAGTCAACTAACGCGGTTTCGCGTTAGTTTTACTTGCTTCACTTTCGGTGCGCGTACTAGTATTCTATGCGTAATAATTCTATGGTTAAATGATTTTATGCATGTGTATGTAAGTGTGAGCAGTGTTGCCAACTCTACGGATTTTTCCATACATCTACGAAAATTTTTCATCGTCTACGGAACTACGGAATTTGAGTTGAAATCAACGGAATTTGATTTCCATGTTAATTAATTTTTTTTGTACTTCACAGTTCTTTCAGAATAATTAGATTTTTAAAAATTTAACAAAGAAAACATTTTTTATCACTTAGCCGTCAACCGATAATCAAATATTTTAACAAAAGAAATAATTTTATTGTTTATCTATCCACAAATATTGTAGTGTTAATTATTTTATATGTTTTTTACAAAAATAATTTAGTTAAAAGAAAACAATTAATTTTTAATAAATTTTCTGTGGAAAAGAAAAGAGTATTTTCTTAAATGTGCAGCTCAATTCCATGTTATACTACAGTTGAACTTACAACAAGAGCATCTATTGAATTCTACGGAAATTTTTATAGCAATCTATGGAATTGCAAAAATTTGAGTTGCTAACACTGAGTGCGAGTTCTTACAATGAGTTTGACTTGGTTATAGCATCACTTGAAATCTACACTGTGCTCCGTTTTTTTTTTTCTTTGTTTTGTATTGGTTACAATAATGAGGAAAATTCCCCACAGCCTGCTCCAGAGTTATGGATAGAGACAAAGACAAAGGACGGCAAATCATACTACTACCATTCACGGACGCGAGAGAGAACCTGGACGAGGCCGCAGGAGAGTCCCACCTGCAAGGTCATTACGCAAGCTAAGATGGAAGCTATGGTCGTTTCAGGTAATTTGTTTGTATTACCAATAATTAAACTTTTACATTGCTCAAAACCACCCATGTTTTCATTTTTATAATATTGAAGTTACAAACGAACATACAGTTCATTTAGTTCTATTCATTAACTCCCAATGAAAACAGAGGGGTGTTATAAGTTTGTAGTGTGTATCTGTGTGTCTGTGTCTGTCTGTGACATCATAGCTTTCTTCGGAAGAACCGTTTTTGATAATTTTTTATTCGAGAGTGTTCTTAGCCATTTTTCAAGAAAAACTGTTCAGCCGTTTGAACATCACTTTTGTTACGGGGGTTTATAAATTTTTTAATTTAAGTTAAGATGAAAAGCTGCCTTATTCTCTGTTTATTGACCAATGCTGTAAAAGGTAAGCCATTTTGAATATGAATATATAGTTTGAATATTACTATGTTCATATGTGGTAGAGCCATGCTGCAGCTATATTAGTAGTATAGTTGTAGCAACGAATGGGTCGGCTCGACCGGGGAAGGACCACGCTTACAGAATACCAGTATGAAATAGTAGCTTAACACTGCTATGTTTCGTATAGTGAGTGTAGAGAACCCGGAGACCCTTTTTACTGGAAAAGAAGCATTCTACCTTAGTCCTCATGGGTAAACATAAATAACGCATCTGCATTTTGATTCGCAAACGAGGATAGATGTAGATGTCTATGAGCCACAGCAACCACTTACCTTCAGGTTTACACGTGGTAGAGCCATGCTGCAGTTATATTATGATTGTAGCACGAATGGGTCGGCTCGACCGGGGAGGGACCACGCTCTCACAGAAAACCAGCGTAAAATGGCAGTTTAACGCTGCTGTGTTTCGTATGGTGAGTGTAGAGAACCGGAGACCCTTTTTACTGGCAAAAGGGCATTCCATCTTAGTCCTCACGGGTGACAACGCATCTGCATCTTGAGTCTTTATTGAGGATAGATGGAGATCTCTATGGGTCACAGTAACCACTTACCATCAGGTGGACTGTGTGCTCGTTTGTCACGCGATCCTATAAAAAAAATGGTGGACTGTGTGCTCATTTGTCACCCTATCCTATAAAAAAAAAGGTAGTGGGACTCTTTTTTCCCTGTGGTTCTTTTTCCTGTCTGCGTAGGTAGCACCTTTTTACCTATTTCTACTGCCAAATACCAGCGCCTGCACTGCTGTGTTCCGGCCATAAATCTAGTATAATTACAGGCTGCGAGGCAGTCCATCTTATGGCGCGTCTCCACCAAAGTTTTGTTGTCAACACAACATTTGCCAACAAATGTTTCTGTCAACAAGCGTCTCCACCGAGGGAACAAATGTCGGCAACAAGCGTATTCCTTTGATGTTGCCGCCGAAAATCTTTTGTTTTGTTGCCAAATGTGTTGACAACAAAACTTTGGTGGAGACGCGGCTTTAGTGCTCAGAGGTAACAACGCATCTGCAGCGTTCTTTGTTTGAATTTGGCTGCAGTTGTCAATGGGCTGTTGTAACAGTAGCAGTGGTGGACTGTAAGTTCGCTTTCCACTTTAATTTTATTAAAAAAAAACCGGATTTATTGCTAGTTTATTTCGGAAGTTTGATTTAAATTTGCTTAAGATTTGAAAAAGCCTAAGTAAATGAATAATTAAGATCGATTTTCACGTGATTTCAATACAGACAGTAAAACGCGGATGGAGATATATCTAAACTACTAGGGTTTGGGTCCCGGGATATCTCGTGTCTTGAAGTCCCGGGACTTTTCGTAATTTTAGTTGTCTCGAGTCCCGGGACTTTCGGATCGAGACTCGAGACGAGACAATATTGTCGAAATTGTTATGTAATTATTTTTATTTTCAAATAATTGAAGGAGCCTAGTGCCATGTGTTAGTTTAATGAGTAATTACTTGGTCTACTACGTAACTACTGAGTTCGCAACACAATAGATTAAACAAATTTGTGATTATGATAATTAGCAATGAGATTATAAACAATGATTAGGTACTAGAGTTACTAGATAATAGTAAAGTTATTAAGAATTAGTATAATTTTTAACTAAGTTCGTTTCATAACTACAAGATTTAACTGTTTAGAAGTGCATTTGTGTGTGACTAAAAAAAAATAAACGAAGCAATTATTAAGACTGAAATTAACGGTAAAGTTATTTAATTTTCTGTTTAATTAATGATTTCTTATATTTACGCGAACACTACACATTGAATAAAACTATTTTTTACGGATTTTATCACGTTTAAATTACTATTTAATTTCCCGACGTTTCGGCTGTACTACCCTATGTCAGAGGAGTCACAGACAAGGTTGGCTACACTTTGAAGCGAGCTTCTATTAAAACATACTTCAAGCCGCCGAAGAAGATTAGTAAATTTTTACCATCAGTCGAGTGTAACATCCCTCTACAAGATGCACAAGCTGTGCTGTGGGAGTGTACAAGCTTGATTGCGAATGTGGTCTCTTTTACATAGGACAAACAAAAAGATCAATTAAAACCCTTGTAAAAGAACATATAGCTGACGTGATGCACCGACGCTCTGGGAAGTCCGCAGTCTGTGAGCATGTTTGAAGATCGTCCCCGCCATTACATCAGATTTGATAGACCACAAATCCTCGCAAAAGAACACCGATTCCTACCAAGGATGATACGCAAGGCTATTGAAATTAAAAAAAACATCCAAATTTCAATAGAGAAGATGGATGGGTGCTACCATCTGCTTGGGATCCTATAATTAACAAAATTAAATCCAAGCCCAAGCATACCACTGCAATACTTCAAAATACTGTAAGTTCATTCTGCGTAAATCGAACCAAAAATAATGGGCTAACTGTGACATCAGGACGTCAAACATCTCAGCCCCCCCCCCCCCCCCCCCCCCCGTGACCATGGGTTGCTGTAAAGCACCCGAAAAGTCGGGAATTAAAAAAGTAAATTAAACGCGATAAAATCCGTAAAAATAGTTTTATTCAATTTCTGTTTAATTGTTTAATAATTGTTGATTTATACAAAAACTTGCCTCTTTTTAATACGTTTAAGAAATTAACTCAAATAAAATTCTTCAAAGAAGGCTTACCCATCTTCAAAAAACAAAAAAGTCTTGAAGTCCCGGGAATTCCCGGTACTTTGATTATAGGCAGTCCCGTGTCCCGGGACTTTGAAATTGTCGGGAATTCCCAAACTATAAAACTACTTAATCAATTGTCTCCACAGGTCACTTGCATTTAGGCATGAATGGGCCGCAGTCTATGATTCCAATGGGCGGGCCTCCGATGGGAGGACCTCCTCTTATGGGTGGTGGACCTCCAATGGGTGGAGGACCTCCTATGGGCAGGGGGCCTCCTCCAATAGGTGGTGGCCCTCTAATTGGTGGTGGCCCTCCTATGGGTGGTGGTCCTCCAATGGGGGTTATGAATGGCATGATGCCCGGAGGTATGCTTCCTCCTGGAGTGGCACCAGGTCCAGCTCAGGGCTCCGTGCCGTTGTTCATGACCCAGCCTCCACTATGGATTAAAGATGGTAAGGATTATTTATGTTATAACTTTATAAACATCTGTCTCATTTTAAAGAATATCCATCATTTCACCATGTCAAATCCAGAGGGAAATGAAACGAAGGACGGGCAGCATCATTTTCCTGATAACAACTCAAAATAAAAAACTGCAGTTGCCATCCCGCCTGCCAAGGGTGGCAAGTATAATATGGCAAGTAAGAATGCGAAATAGCTCGGCCATAGCCTAAAGAACTGAACATATGCAAAAGACCGGTTATCGTGTGGCAACCTCCTGGTAAGCGGGATGTTGATGGTTCAAAACCATGGCAGTCATTAGCGAAGCCCTATGTTCAGTAGTGGATTTGTATGGCTGTAATGAGAGTCCTTAAAATTCAATTGTTGGAAAATTAATCTACTGCAATTTTCTATATTTACTTAACACAGCCACATATATAATCTAAATCTAGCATCGAGTAACAGCTCTAGTTCATCAATCTTAAATTTTTTTTGGATAAAAGACATAATGCTCTCTATTTTTATGAGTTTATAGCGCAATTTGAAACTGATCACAGTATTATTGTGACATTGCATGTTAAGTAGGTGAATATGCATTACAATTCTGAAAATTTGTAGATTAAAAGAAATATGGTCTCTGTTTATAATACCTTATGGTTCAAACACAAGCTGATGGAGAGTAACATAAAGCATTTTATTTTTTAATTAGGGAAGATTATTGGCTCTAGTAGTACAAATTATGCATTTTGCCTCTTCCTTCTCGTTTTTAATATTCTGTGCAAATAATAATGTCATTTTTATGCATAATAATATATATTATATAAGTATATAATATAATGTATGGTGAATAACAAGCATGCAGTTCACCTGATGGTATGTGGAGTCTAGGGCACATAGATAACTTCATCTATCATTGATTAAGTTAAAAGAGCTCCAGTTCCAATCACCATACAGAAAACAGCAGTATGAAGCTGCTATTTTTTATTATTTCATGGCTTCGTGGTGCACTGCTTAACAATGAGTTGCAGCGCTAAGGGCCGCAGATTCGAACCCCGCACGGAACAAATAATTGCTCTGGTTCTGGATGTTTGTCCTTGTGAAATCTATGTATGTAAGAAGCACCCGCGATACAGGAGAAAACTCTAGTGTGGAGGTAATGTTTTTTTTTTCGGTGACAGATGGCCAGTCTCCGGGGACTGGCCTGCTAGATTTTTACACAGTCTACTAGATTTTTCCAAAGCTGGTGTATGTTGATTAGTGAAAGTGTTTACATACTAGTGAACAAATGTTAACAAAAGGGATTGGTATGATTGGTTCCGATCCTATATCGGCCAGAGCCAGTCCTCTCCTGGCCAGTTCGTCTGCTGCGTCGTTGCCCTTGGATCCACTGTGTCCCTAGATCTATGGCAGAGTCACATTGTTGTGATTACATACCTCATTTAGTTGTTGATGGCATTCATATTATTAGATCCGAGTTCACAACATTGTAACTCAGAGCTTGTAGTGCCGCTATGATGTCGGTCAGTATTCTGATGGAGAAGTATTTTACCTTCCTGGCATCTATTGTATTGTCCGCTTGGATGATGCCCAAACATTTTGCCCGAAAGACTGTGTTGCTCACCCAGCGGTGTACATATGTGGATGTTGAAATCTTCCGAGAAATTTCCAGATTCTGTACTTTCATTTGTTTTAGAACCATCCATGAAAGTTCCTTTGGGTTTAATCCCTGCTACTGGTTAATAATAATAATAATAAAGCTTTATTCCTCTACACATTTACAGAGTTAACAAAAAAAAAATACATAGAACTTAAAGAAATTATTTGTTAGTTTATGTAGTCCCTCTTGGGTAAAAGCCTCCTCCAACTTGAACCATTCTTCGCGGTTTTTGGCAATTTGCATCCATTGTTCTCCTGCTGTGTTAATAATGTCGTCCACCCATCTTTTCCTTTGCCGTCCTACACTCTTGGCCAAACGGGCCCTTCCATTTTGTTGTTTGGTAGGTCCATCTTTTGTCCTGATATCTAGCTATGTGTCCTGTCCATTTCCATTTTCGTATTTGGCTATGCTGAAGTGCATCCGTTAATTTAGTTTTCTTGCGGATATCTATATTTCTTGTTTTTTGTATTCTCCTTAATTTAAGGATGCTTCTCTCCATAGCATGTTGGCAGGACAAAATTTTGTTTTTCACTCTTTCTGTATACACCCATGTTTGGCTTGCATATGTTAGACTTGGAAGGATACACATGTCCATTATGACCTTTTTCATTCTTAGGCTGTAATTTCCTTTAAGAATTTCTTTTTGAGCCCAATATTTTTTCCACGCTATGTTTATTCTTCTGTCTATTTCTTTTTCATTGCTGTTTAGTTCGAAAGATATCAGTTTGCCTAAATATACATAGTCATCAACATATTCAATGAACTTTCCTTCTATTTTGATTGGTTTTTTGGAGCTGTTTGTAATAATTTTTGTTTTTGATAAATTAATTTCAAGTCCTACTTTTTGGCTTTGGGTGTTCTGGCTCTGAAGCATGCTTTCTAATTCAGTTGCAGATTCACTGAAGAGAGCTATGTCATCAGCAAATCGTAGGTGTGTTAATCTTTTATTTATTTATTTATTTTTTATTTATTTAACAGTTTATGTACACATATAATATGATAAGAAAATGGTAAAAACATAATTATGTACAAAGGCACTGTTTATTCCATGATGAAATTTCTTCCAGCAGGCCTATTGAAGGATAGTTGAAGGAAATAGAGGTAGTCAAAATGTGCACTTGCATAAATATACATATACTATACAAATATATACAAACTTATATATATATATATATATATATACGTATATACATATATAAATAATTTATTTATTTATTTAAGCTTTATTTGCACACATACAAGAAATGTACAAAACGGCGGACTTAATGCCTAAAGGCATTCTCTACCAGTCTACCTTTGGTTTGTGCAGAAAATCTAGTGATGGGTGCAAAACTCATAATTAAAAAAAAAATTAAAAAATTAAAGGTTTAAGGAAAAAAAATACAAAATTATAATATAATGATAATAAATACAATACACATACATATACATTTACATTACTACTTACATGCATACAATAGTATTTTATACTTGTACACAAATACCCACAATAAATACATACACAGTAAATAAATATGATATTTTTATATTATACATATTTGAGAATATAACAGTTTCCGAGGTTTTTTAAATTTTTTATTATTATCCGAAACTACTGCTGCTTCGTTAAGTAATATTCCCAGAGCAAACGTTTAAAGATAGGTTTAGTTTTTGCTTCTTTTATATTTCTGGGTAACATGTTCCAGAGTCTTACTGCATTTGAAGTGAAAGAATTGTAAGAGAAGCCCGTGCGACAGAAAGGAACATGAAGAGTTAGATTTTCCGCGGAACGGAGACATCGGTTGTGAGAATCGTCCTGATACTGAAATTTGCATTTCAGATATGCAGGGACAGACGGATCGTGTAAAATAGAGAATAGCATAGAAAGGATTCTAAAAGATCTACGAAGTGGAAGAGGCAGCCATTTGAGCTGAGAACGGAATGAAGAAACGTGATCGAATTTACGTAAGCCAAAGATAAAGCGAATACAATTATTGAGAAGACGATCCAGTTTGTTGAGAAGTTCTTGAGAGGCATCAGCATAGCATACATCTGCATAATCTAGTATTGGTAATACGAGCGTTTGAACCAACATTACCTTTGTTCTCACTGGAAGAAAATTCTTGAGTCGATACAGACAACGCAAGGTGTTGATAACTTTTTTGCTTACTTCCGTGACTTGCGGCCGCCAACTTAGACTGCTGTCAATGATAAGTCCTAGATTTTTCACAGTAGCTGAATAAGGTATGACAGCATTATTAAAATTTACAGGTGGCAGTGAATTAAAATCCAATGCAGATAAGCGACGGCTACTTCCAACTATAATTGCCTGGCACTTGGTAGGGTTAACAGTAATACCGAATTTGCTAGACCAATCAGAGATACGAGTGAGGTCAGAGTTTAGCTCAGTGATCGCATCTTCGATATCGTTAACATCAGACTGAGCATATAATAATTATTATATATTATAAAAAATATATATATAATTCAATATATATTTTTAATGTTACTTATATGCATAGCAACATATTACGATTTAATAATTATGGAGTGAATGATAGTGCTCTTTAACAAGTCTTTTAAACATAGACACCGATTTAACATCACGAATCCTAAAGGGAAGTGAATTCCACAATCGTACTGCGTTAACAGAAAAAGAATGAGAATAGAGCATGGTATTGAACGGAATCTTAGACGGAAATCTTAACAATGTTCTAGTTAATAAATGCAGTTCCTATCAAATCGCGTTGAATAGAAATTACACAAATACGAATTACTACGTATCAACCAAATACAAGTTAGCACAAATGAAAAGACACAAATCAAATTAACAAATAACAAATACTAGTGCGATCAAATCAAGTTAAATTCAAATTGCGCCAATACAAATTACTACTCTTTAGCTCAAATACAAATTACAATACGACTAAAGATACACATCACGGTCGATCAACAAAAAATGCCTAGCTCGGAAATCGACCCTTCGATAAGTAATCCACTACAACTATCCGACAACGATAATTAACCGATTACGTAAAAATAACCATCTACCTACATGACGTATATCTCTAGAAAACTCCCGCTTGCGCAACCTAGGGCGCGGCTTTTCAAACTACCCACTAACCAAAAAAAAAAAAATGCTTGCCTTTTTTTTTGGTTAGTGGGTACAAAGCAACAAAGGAAAATAATTTTATTATTACGTACAAACAAATATTTTTACGTATTACGGACGGGCGTGATTGTAGATACAAATTAAACCAATCAAACCAACGCTCCCTGCCACCAGAATTGTTTAATTTTTATCAAACACTATGGTCGGGATCGACCGGGGAATCGAACCCGGAATCACGCTCGGCTACCAGATTGTTACGACCTACGGCTGCTCCTTTAAAGGTCAAATCCTCAGGGGCCCATTCAGCTGAGTTTCAACGAGCAGACGTAGGTAGGGCCTCTTCCAGGCCAAAGTGGAAAATCTCTAATTACACTAAACTATATGGGGGAGCGTTCTATACTACGGCCAGTCGACCGGGAGGGTATTAGACGGAGCTTACTTACCTATATCCAAGGCGACTGGTCCCTCCGGAGTCGGTCAGGTCGCATGTGGTTGTCTAGTGCAAGGGAAATGAGGTGATGTGATGTGTATCTGGGTGTGACTGATGGTGATTGACCCTAGACCTTGGCCGTCGGCAGCAGCCCGGGCGTCGACATTGCTCCAAATTGAGGGAACCTTCCGTGGCGTGGTCCACAGTCACTTTCCTCGTTCGCCACGATGACAGTCCATTAACTCTCTTACGATTAATTAACTTACATAAGCCACTAACTCTCGTTGGTTATAAAGCCTAACACACAAAACTAACAGGTAGTGCCCGGATCAAAGGTCACTACCGCTTCGCGTAGCAACAGTTATTTCTAGACTATCAAAGGCCGCACTAGCTAATATTGTCGAATGCACTTATACAGATTCTGAGTCGGACCCAATAAGTCCCGGGAAAGGCTATCCAACAAGGAATGCGCGTTATAAATCCTAGACAGGATATTTACTAGACGCCCTAACTATTCCGCGGTTCCTGCACAAAAATTGACAGCGTGCAGACATTAGCACAGCTAGCAGACGACTCTCCGCTTGCGCGTTCTACTAAGACCGAAAGTCAAACCGGTATGAATGCACCGCGCCGAGCGCCCTCTCGCGTTAATTCTTGAAATTAGCGTTTGGCGCGAACAAGTGGATTTCCTTTTTTATAGAGCAGTATTATGTTTGAGCTGCACCATTGTTTTGGAATTTGTTCTTGTTGTATGATTAAGTTGAATAGTTTCGTCAGGTAGTTTACTAGAATAGATGACCCAAGTTTAAGAGCTTCATTTGTGATTTTATCTGGTCCTGGGCTTTTTTCAGACTTAAGTCTTTTTATATGTCTTTCTGCCTCCCCTTCGGTTATAGGAGTTAAAGTTACTTCTTCTAGTTGGGATACTCTTGTGTGTTTAATTTCCAATTGTTCATCCTTTTGAGTTTCATCTTGGGATGTTCTTCTGTAAAGCTCTGAGAAGAAAGCTGTTGCGCGCTTTACTATGTCTTCTCTGTTTCTTGTTTCCTCTTTTCCATCTTGTAGACCTTGTATCCAGTTTTTATGCGTTGACAGATCTTTAAAGGCTCTCTTTGAACTTTTATATGTTGCCATATTTCTCTCTATGATTATTCTTCTATGTCTTTGTCGTAATCTTGTCTGATTGCTCTGTTTGTCTTCTTATATAGTTCTTTTAATTCGTGTCTCATTTCTTTAGATTTTTCTCTTATAGATAGGAGTTCTGCACTTTTAGAAATCAGTTCTTGTGTTAGTTCGGTAATAATTTTTGGTTTTTCGTTACTGGTTTTTAATACTCTATCCTATTCTAGACTATTTATGATGGTTTTTTCCAGCTCGTTGCTCAGAGTTTGTACATTTTCTGTGTTCTTCATTGTTTCTTCTAATGTTGTTGTATTTTCTTTTAGCTTTTCTAGATAAATTTGTTTTTCTTTAGATGTCTTTAGCATGTTATTTGGGGCTTTAAAAGATTTCCTGTTCATTTTTGGTGTTTGGAGATTCAGTGAACATCTGACCAATTTATGATCTGATGGGAAATTTATATTGTTTAAAACCTCTAAATTTGTGATAACTTTGGGGTTGTAACTTAGTATGAAATCGATTTCGTTTTTTGTCTTGTTGTCTGGAGACATCCAGGTCCATTTGCGAGAGTTCCTCTTCTTGAAATATGTGTTCATCACTGATAGTTTGTTTTCATATGCGTATTGAATTAATAGTTCCCCTCGTGGATTTCGTTGACCGTGTCCGTACCGTCCCATTATCATATGTTCTTCATGTGTCGGGTACCCGATTTTCGCATTTAAGTCTCCAATGACTAGTAGGGTTTTATCTGCTTGTTCTTGCGCTTTTTGTAAATCCATGTAGAAACTTTCAATTTCTTCTTCACTGGAGCTCTCAGTGGAGGCGTAAACTTGAATAATAGACAGTGATACCTTGTTGAAGCTCATATTTAACAAAGCGACTCTTTCTGATATGCCTACGAAGCTCACGATATTTTGTTTCAATGTTTTCTTTATTAAGAAACCTACGCCATGGAGTCCCAATGTCTCGCCAATATAACAGAAAATATAATTTTTATGTTCTTCTATACTGTACCCTAATCGTTTAACTTCGGCGAGTTCTATAATGTCCCAGTTAATTTTGACTATTGCATTTTCTAATTCTAATAATCTTGTCACTGATGATAGTGATCTTACGTTATAGGTGCATATATTCAAGTTGTGTAGTTCTTCCGATTCACATTTTAGATTTTCAGATTTTTTGCTCTTATAATTATTGGTATTGGTTTTATTCAATGGAGGGTTGTGGTCTTCTTCCCCCACGGTGACCAGCCGGCCTGGGATGCTGATTGTTTTTATTTTATTTTGTTGTATTGTTTTATTTCTCTTATCCGGATTCCAGTTGAGGGAGGCAGTTTTTAGTTTTTTTTAAGTTTTTGGGTCAGACACCGATGATGCTCTACCTCGTGCCGCATAATTGAATATGCTTGGTTTTACTATTTCTTGTATATTATTTGTAGATGGCTCATTAATACGTTTGTCAGTAATCTGTTTCTTCTTGGTGTTTTGTGCCATTGTTTCTGGTGATTCTACCTTTTCTCTTTTCCTTTTCTCACGATTAGAATCTTTTAGGTTTTTTACTACTAACTTATCATATTTCAGAAATGCTAAATTTCCCTTCTTTCTTTCTTCTTTCAGCATTGGTTGGAGTTTTTTTGCGAGTTTCTAGAACCTCTTTAGGAAAGTCTTCTTTAATATAGATGCCTTTAGGCAGTTTAGATTTGTTCTTCTGAATAAGATGTTTTTTCCATGTTGTTGTCAATGAGACCACTACTGGTCGATTTTTATTTGAACGGTTGCCCAATTCTATAGACTTTGGCTATCTCTTGATTGTCCAGGTGTACGCCCATCTCCACTATGATTTCTTTCAAATAGTCTACTAATTCACATTCTGTTTTCTGTTTCTCTTCTATGCCGAAAAATACTAGATTGTTCTTTCTGTTTTCCTTTTCCATGGATTCTATTTTCTGCTCAAGGTTTGTTATTTTTGTTTTTAAGGTTCTGTTTTCTTCCAAGAGTGTTTATTTTTTCCTCGAGTGCTTGCATGACATTATTGGTGACATTGGCAGTTATTGTCAAAGTTTGTTGGTTCAGCTTCTCGTCCAGTTTAGCTAGCAGCAATTCCATACTTTGATCCATATTTATTTTGGTATAATTTACAATTTTGGTAGAATTTAAAATTTTTCTACTGACAACACTACTAGAACTATCAAAATATCAAAATACAAGTTCCTTCGTTCATTCAATATTGCTTAGGTTGGCACTGCTTTTGTGAATGTCAGATGGTTATCTTTATAATAAATGGTCTTGATTTCACTATATACACTATTTTCCACTGAGATTTCTTCGTGATTTGAAGCTATAGTGGGTTTCTTCAGATATTTTCGCAGTTTTATGGTTAATTAACTAGTTTTAATAGCAATTGTGAATTATTTCAACGGAGCTGATTCGTAATACGTGTTTACGTCCACAATACCGGAACCTCCTACTGGTTAGTTTCGTTTAATTGTATGTTATATTTCTTATCAAACACAAATTGTTTAGGGATCTTATTGTACTTGGTTTGTAAGATAGGAATGTTGATGTCAATTCTATCAATTATTTCTGTATGAAAGACTACTCTTACTCTATTTAGGGTTACAAGATTTAGGGTCTTGAGTCTGATGGCACATAAAAAAAATTGTAGGTGGTGGTGGTTTCCCGGGTCCGTGGGGCAACTGGGGCTGGGCGCCCCCTGGCGTGACCCAACACAGCGGCCCGCCCAACACTGGGCACAGCCCGGCCAGTGCCGCGAACGCACTCGTCTCTGCTGCTGTATCTGACAAAGGTAAGTGTATTCAATTTATACTTGCCATTGTTGTCACTTGGTGAAACTCATGCTTCATGTTTTTGAATTGAGTAAATGCTTGTACTAGATTCACAATATTTATTTTAAACTAGTGATCCGCCCCGGCTTCGCACGGATGATTTCTGGATCTCGACAACAGCACCACCTATCGGGTCCCAATGTAAATCTAAACCATCTAGGATCCCATTAAACACACAAAAAATTTCATCAAAATCGATCGAGCCGTTTTTGATTTTTAGCGAGACTAACGAACAGCAGTTGAGTTTTGCAACGAACTTCCTTATCGGTCTGTACGAATTTGGCGGATGGGGCCTAGGCGAGAAAAAGTGTAAGATATTTCCGTCACGACCCCTAACGTAGTGTATACGGCCTTTGCGGCTATAAGGAAGCCAAAATGCAATAATATCCATCTCCGTCGCATTTTTTTTTTATGTTGAGAAATATTATTTTATTTTAAATGACGTTTCATTTTAATGGACGATAGTAATTCATTTATTTGTATTGGAATAATATAATACATTTGTCAATAATAATATACTATGAAAGGAACTTCGTTACAACCGAGTGTTCCACGACACTCACATATGGTTTTTATATATAGAGATTATAATAATAATTTTATATATAGAGATTATACTAATTATAAAATATAATATGCTATTGTGGTAATACCGGTCGGTTTTTACAAGATGTTATTATAATTGGTATAATAACATAAAATAAATATTGTCAAACTAGCACAGATGTTTATCCAAGAAAGTAAGCGTTTTTTTTTAAATAGAAGTAAGCGTGACCATCGAGCATTGAGTCCAAATATCAGACTGCTCGTTTACCAATTGAATTATGTAATTATTAACTGAATATAATGATTGGAACGTAAATCATTTAGAAATCGTCTTTATTTTTAGTAACTTAATCTATGGTCTGAATATGATGAAAAATACTCTATCTTCTCATCTTGCGCCCGTCCAGCATGGTAGGTACATGCAGACAAGAAAATCAGATTATTGTATGTAAGAGTATGACTGGGGTAGGATTACACCATGAAGCAAATACAAAGCGGAGACGTTGAAATTAAATTTCACTATGTAACACGCGTGACAATTTGCGAGGTGAGGGGATGCAAAGCCCCGCCCACTTTACACTATCTACATCTACCGATAAATAGTAAAACTACTCGAATCGTTCCATATCGATGTTGCAATGTAGTTTAGCTGCCTTGACGGTAGATGGCGGCCTGTCCATAAAATGTTATAAACTATAAAAATAATATTTTGGCGGTTAAAATTTCTTTATGTCTAAATGCAAAACAAATTTGAGCACCTTCGTATGATTTTTTTATCATTACTGAGCTCTACGTACTTTTATATTTTTAGTTCACATGACCAGGGCTCGGAAACCGGTTCAAATTCTAAACCGGTTTCGGTCATTGACCCCAAAACCGGTTTCTGCGGAATACCGGTTTTACACAAGTTTAGGTTTAGGTAGTAAGAATTAACCGGTTAAAACCAAGATTTGTATTGTTGCCCCTCTCCCTTACCCCGCATGCACCCAACTTTGTACGGCTGCCCTGAGGTTTTTAGACACATGAACAATATATTTATTGCATCAACGCGACTGCCTTGTAACGTATTCCCTCATATTTTTTCATCTTTGCAACGATCGTATTATAAATAACAGATGTAAGTTCTGTTTCAATTAATTATGCGTTATCTTCACGTTAAAATTAAGTTTCGATATGGTTTAATTTGACGTTATATATTTAAATTAACTTCAATTATATTTAAAGTTTTCTATTAAAATTACGCTATGCATCTTTATTTCAATGTCATTACTTTTAGTAATATATCGCAATAAATGATGAACTTTCTTAACAGAACACGATATTTTTAAAAGTTTATGAAATTATATGTTATAGTATTTTTGTTCTTTTTAGGACTAAAGTGAGGCAGATTACCAGATTTTTTTAAATTCAGAAGCTCGTGATTAGGACCAACCTCTATCTCCGTCTTTGTAAAAATCAATAATGACCACTTCTGAGGTGTAAAGTTTAACTAGAAGTCATGTCTAAACACGATAAAAAATTGTTTTTTATGTTCAGAGAATTCTAACAAAAGAAATTAACATTTTTCACATTTCATTAATGAGGAATTGGAGCAAATCTTATCATGCTGTATGCGTTCAAGATGCTACTAAAAAATATTAGCTTTTCTAAATAGAGTGCAAGGTAACCACATAGACGAAATTAAATTTACTGATACTGAAATTAATAAAGAAAAATAATTTGAATCTAACAAATCATTATGATTAAATTCGACTATACTTTGCTGTCGACTGTAACCAAATACATACACTAAAAATCCTGTCTTTTATTTAAAGTAATTATTAATAACTCCCAATTAACTAGATTATCAGTATAAATCACACTGATATCTACGATCTTGTATTGAATTATAAAAGAGAATTATTAAAAGAGCAGCCAAGTTTTCTGACGCCTCAAGATCTAAATAATATAGTAATCACTTTCGAAGTTTTCACAAACTTTCATAGTTTACGAATATGAAACTATTCAATTAAATAAAATTGAAGTGTCTGTTCGTAACGTCAAAAAAACAGATTTTTACTAAATACATATTATGAAAGTATATAATATTAAAAAAATTGTCTGTTTATATGTGGTTACTAGCGCGACTGTGGATCATGATTTGGTCCTGGTTTTGAATCCTGGATCGTGCCAAGTACAGTTATTGGATGAATTTGGGTATAATGAGTGTTCTAGAAACCACCCTGATAGTTGTATTACAGCCCTCAATCAAGCACTTAGATTTTTGGGTTTTCTCGTCGTACGTTTTCTTATAGAAAAAGGGGGTAAACGAGCATGTGGGTCACGTGATGGTAAGTGATTACTGCCGCCCATGAACAACCGCAACATCAGGGGAATAGCAGGTGCGTTGCCGGCCTTTTAGAAAACAGTAAGCTCTTTTCTTGAAGGTCCCAAAGTCGTATCGGCCCGGAAAAATCGTCGGTGATAAACAATTCCACAGAGAAGTTCTACGAGGAAGAAAACTCCTAGTAAAACGCACAGTGGTGGCCCGTCAAGCATCCAGATGGTGAGGATGCTATCGTGAATTGTGACGGATTAAACCGAACCTCAGAGCACTCCACGAGGTAGATGCAATAGAAAATGCAAAGGGATGCAACATCCCTAGGCTGTGCCAGTGTATCGAGCCGATCAGAAAGGATTTGGACGTCGACGACTCGAACCGCTCTGCGGATGCGGTCAAGTCCCCAGAAATGAGAGGCCGAATTTGCGCTTTCTAAAGTTGCAAGCGATGTACCGACATGAAATACTACCCCGCTTTGCTGCGCACGCTTTTTAGAGGCCAATTTGGCCTTCCCTTCCAAGTGACCACAAAACTGCACACTATTCGATATGTTGAGCCCGAGGATTCCGATGCTAACTAAGGCAGCAAGGGGAGTGCCTTAAAACTGAGGAGATAGGATAAAGGAGTTCTTTTTAGCGGTATGCGTGCAAACTTGTGTGTTTTGGGGATTGAACTGTACTAGATTTAGCCGCTTTTAATCCGGGACTTTGTTTAGCAAAGAATCGACATAAGACACAAGTTTGTTCCGGTACTCGGAGACGTTTTCCCGAGAAATATTGGTACGGCCGGTGTATATTGCATCACCAGTGCTGTCGTTGTTACCAGTTTGCAACATATCATTGATATGCAGTAGAATGAGATAAGCATTGGTGATAGCACGCAGCCTTGTGGAACACAAACGTTAATAGGCTTGTAATCAGAGCATGTACTGTCTACTACGACCTTGATGCTCTGATCAGTAAGGAAACTGGTGATGCAATTGCACAATTTCGAGGGAAGGGAGCGTCGAAAGAAGCGCTTTGTGCCAGACCCGATCGAAGGCCTTCGTTATGACCAAACTAACGACCAATGCCTACCCTTGGATTCTACTGCCTCCGCTCATCTATGAGTTAGATAGACCAGAAGATCACCAGCTGATCAACCCCGATGAAAACTGTTTATAATGGATTCCATTATTTTGGAGAACAAGGAGGTGATGGCGATATAGACCTGTCAATCTGAGCGGTCACCTTTTTTAGGGATCGTGTGAACCAAAGCTGTCTCCCATGAATTTGGGATAACGCCTTAGGAGTAGAAGTACCGGAAAGGACGCGTTAAAACCGGTGCCAACTTCGGAGCACAGGTCTTCAGCACAATAGAAGGGACTCCATCAAGCCTTCTCGACTTGTTGACGACAGGGAAGGGAGTGCTTTGTGAACTGAGTGCTGTGTAAGCTGCACATCTGGCATGGAGCACTCGCAACCGCGGGATGGTCGGCGGTGTGTTCCTCCGTCATCGAAAGTCGAGTTGGACGCAAAAAGAGAGATTAACAGATCGGCTTTCTCCTTTGCGGCATGGACTCAGTGAGTCCCCCTCTCTTTGCAGAGATGGCTGACAGAAGTTCCCTTGGACAGCCTTAGCAAAAGACCAGAATGCACGGGTTACCGAAGGAAGGTGAACTAGCCTCTCACCAACTGCACCCATGTGCTCTGACCTTGCCTAGGCAATGAATTTTGAAGACCATGGTGGCGGAATTATACTTCTTTTGAAGAGCGCTGGTGTTTACTTCTCGAGACATTGATGTCGTCAGCCCAGGCCTGGTAGCACTCCTGCTTACAGTGTGATGCTATTTTACATGAGCGACCAAACCATGTCTGGAATCTGCCTCCGATGGTGTAAATGGATGGAATAAAAAGTTCCATATCCTGAAGTATCATATCAGCGACAGAATCAGCAACATTGCTGGGATTGTCCAGCGAGAAGCAAATCCGCACTCAACGGTAGAATGCAAAAAAAGACCGCATCCTATCCCAATCGACCGACCTATAGTGCCAAACACGGCGGCAGCCTGCAGAATTCAACTGCGAAGATAGTGTGAGTGACATCACCCTCCGG